TGGTGCTGTTCTCACAGAATCAGCCCATGCAAAGACAGTGTTACATTGAGTGAAATGAGGAATGGCTAAAATGCATGATCTGTTTGGTATTTTGAAAAATAAAAAGTGTAAATATGCCTTATATAGGTATGGTCCTATACTATATTATTCAAATATAGCATGATAGGTCCACTTTAAGGCATTTTTTATTTGAGATGTTGGCAGAGTTTTTATTTGGCTAACTTCTTTCTCTTATCCCTGTTGATAGAGACAACTGGGCACCACATCAAGTCAGGTGCAGCTTTTCTTCAAGGGAGATTTACGCGAACAAATCCTACTTTAATAACACCAAATAGAAAATCCAAGCAAATACTTTTCATTTCTTCAGCTTTAAAGGAGACCTATCATGCTATATTTGAATGATATATTGTAGGGCCATCTATATAAGGTATATTTATACGTTTTTTTTTTCAAAATACCAAACAGATCATGCATTTTAGCCATGGCTCATTTCGCTCTATTTTCCTCTCCTCCACCCTGTCTTTGCATGCGCTGCAGCTGACCACGCCCCCCTGCAAAGGAGGGGGCCGAGTTACGAGCGTCATGTTACCATGCTGTTACCATGCCACGGCAACCTCTCATTCCCTTGATTGGTGGAGAGTTGCCCATATAGGCGGAGCTCCCCGTTTCTGACGTCACACTATTTTCAAATCTGGATCAGTCTGTATCAGATCCGTTGCAGCCCCGTTTTTAGAGATTTGGGTATGGAGGAAAAGAGAGAGGGTTGTGTTTTCTGACACTTGGTGAGTTCCCTGGAACACTGGGGACACATATTCATGTAGAAAAGACGTACAAAAGTGCATTTTGCATGATAGGTCCCCTTTAATTTACACCAATTCACCATCAACTAGCAGTATATTGGCTCTTTATTAGTCATTATAAAACACTTATTAATGCCTTATTCTACATGAGAAATACAATTAATTATACTTGCATGTCTTGTTACATAACAATTGATCATATTTGTTAAGTGTTATTATGGGAGAATTACTATTTTTGTGGTGCTGCTACTGCATATTGAGCATATTAAGACCCACTCATGTACAACAACTTCCTAACTTGCAATAAATAAGCACCAATTAGAGGGTTATTAAAAACTCTTAACTAATGTTTTAGTACTTACTGCTAGTAGAATATGGTCATGTAGAATAAGGCATTAATAAGTGTTTTATAATGACTAATAAAGCCAATATACTGCTAATATGCATGTTAATTAACAGCTAGTTGATGGTGGATTTGTGTACGTTAATATAAAGTGTTACCCAGCTTTTCTTGCCTGTACTTCTGTTCTGTTTCTGAGCTGGAAAAGAGTCCTCCAGTGAAAGATAAACCTCTCAGCACCGCTCTTATTAAAGGCCTCATTGTTGACTGTTTGTTGCGGGTCATTTTGTTTCACTACACTTGAAAGGGACGGTCAAAACTCTGCAAGGAGAGGCTCTGTGTGTGTGTGTGTGTGTGTGTGTGTGTGTGTGTGTGTGTGTGTGTGTGTGTGTGTGTGTGTGTGTGTGTGTGTGTGTGTGTGTGTGTGTGTGTGTGTGTGTGTGTGAAATGCACACCTCACCATGCACAGAGAGGCAGGACAGACACCAACAAGCCCAACATTTGACCACTTTACTTTTGTTTTTGATAATGATTACATTTAATAAAGGCACAGTGTCATGGAACATTGATCAGAATGACTATTGTGCTGCTTTTTGATAAAGAAAAATATCCCAGATTCTGAATCAGTGGCATTAAATCTGCAAAAAGAAAACGTTGTAATATTATCGAGTCTCAAGAGTGGTGTGATATCTCCAAAAATGCACTTTAAATAGCTTTTATCACAATGAATACACGCTATTCTATGATGTTGCTCTGAATGTTTCGGCCTTTTAAAAATACTATGCAATGATGAATGTTCTGGTGTTTTCGATAACCAGTTTTTAACAAAATAAATAGATTTTCAACACTATTGTTTTTCTAGAACGTTCAACACAATATGCACTTCCTGTTCACCTGGATGTTCAATATGCTATTCTATTTAATTTACTTACTTGACTTTTACACAACCTTTTCTATATTTTTGGCATGCCTAACTGGTTAATAAAAATGTGCTCAACATAATAAACCATGACTTTTCACAAGGAAGGGAGGAGAACAAATAAGCCAAACATTTGGGAACTCTGAGGATACACATCAAACACATCTGAGTCTCAGTGTGACACATTGGCCAAACTCCTTGATGTCAGTTTTACCCCCTGTGGTTAATCAAATGGAAAAAGATAATGAAACTAAAACTTTGATCTTTCTCTTGAGTGTGTTTGAGATCATCAGGCCCCCGGCCCTCTGGTCTCAGCTGCAAACTGCAGGACCCCATCATCCTACAAATGACAGTTAAGTGTTCATCTCTTCTCTTACATTCTCCAAAAGTGAGCATTAGATAACGCCTCATTTGCATATTTAAACATGGCACTAGTGTCTCAACTTAGAGTTCTCCTGGAAGTCGTAGAAACTTGCATGCAAACCATTTTAAATTGCAAACTGCAGGAACCCATCATCCTACAAATGACAGGTAAGTGGCCATCTTGGCTCCTTTTTGGCCTCTTTTCCTTATTATAATAGTACAGTGTGTCCTTGGGGTTATTACAAAATATATACTTTGCTATCAAGTTGTATGAAAACATTTTTACTTACAATACATACTATGCTATGCCTGGTTTCTACACACTACACTATACCGTGCCTTATTTCAACGTAAAATACCATTTTCTCGACATGCTATATTATGACTTTTCTGTCATTATTAACGACATACTATGCTACGCCTGGTTTCTACACACTGTACCGTGTATTTTTCTTTGAACTTCAAGCTACATGTCCCAATTAACTTATCACACGTCTTTAACCAGCACAAACGATGCCTCCAGCTGCTACAAATAATAAGTCCTCATTTCTCTCTAGACAAAGAGGATATATGACTGCTGTCTTTGTGCCACACAATGAACAAGATCTTCAGAGACAGCCAGCTTCCACACGGCAGAAAGACAATGAATAATGTGGGAAAGCACCACATTCTGCAATCTGAGGGCACAGTTTCTGTTTTGTAGATAAGGAATTCAGATTATGTTTCACTGCAATCTTTTAGGCATTTAGCGCTGGTCGATATGTTTGTGCCAAAAGGACGGGACAGAAACACTGAACCATAAAAGGGAAAACAAGTACCAATAACAAAAATAAATGTATTTAATTTAAGGAAGACGTTTAACAAGGCACAATAAAGGTTTTGCTAAACTATAAAATATGTACATAGATATTTCACTTGATGTTTAAAACACTGTTGTAACGAGATCCACAACATATTGATGATACAGTGAGAAATGTGACATTAGCCGTCGTTAATAAATACCTTTTCATGCAGATGTTGAGAGGGAAACTACAAAACACCTCAGCACTTGTTGTTTAGCTAATGCTGCGGTTTACTACAGTACACATGTAATAGTTGTAAATATGCAGTGGTGTTTAGTGTTAAATAATTATGTATAAATCATTTAGTACAATCACACAAATTCTGCGGAACCTCCAAAATGGAGTCACTGTACTCAGGAGATAATTACTCTTTCATATTGTGTCCTTCACGTTTTCCTCTTGCCTTTTTCTAATTGTTCCACGAGAGAAGAGTCGGTGTGAGGAAAGAAACAATTGAATAACGACTGATTTGTTATATTGTAACTTTTGTATGCATGCTTCTACTTAACATTAAGCTGTCTTTTGCTCTTTTTCTGCTGTAACAACGTGAATGTACCGTCTGTGGGACCAACACATGGATTCTGATTCTGATGTATATTGTCAGGTACGTTTTCCAATGCATTTTCTGTGAATGTTCCACGAGAGAAGAGTCAGGAAAGAAACAACTGAATAACGACTGATTTTGTTGGATATTGTCAGGTACGTTCTTCGTCGCCTTTTTGTAAATGTTCCATGAGAGTCGAATAACTTTGAGTAACGACTGATTTGTTGTATATTGCCAGTGAATAAACGGAGATCGCCTCGGGTCTCATACATGAATATAACACAACGCAGAGACACCGGTTACACATCATCTGAAGGTCATGACCCCCAAAATGTCACGACCAGCCATGTGAGGCAGAACACGAACACCAGTGAGGACACAGAGGCGGTCACGACGAGCCGCTGGAAGGAGCACGGCGTCCGGAGAGTTTTATTTTGATCAGACGTCGTTGGCACAGACTCGAGGGTTTTGATCGTGGACCAGCGTGACTCGGCAGAGAGTGATTGTCAGGACGGAGGTTTCTTAGGTTTCCTCATCTTCTTCAGCTTCTCTTGCCTCACCGTCTCTCCTTCGAGGGACGACAGCTCTGAGATCCTGTGGAAGAACGAGCGAGAGGCTCCGAGCACCGGGTCGGGGTATGAAGGACCTGAGAGGAGAAGAATAATTAGGATCTATAATTCAACAAATTATTACAAAACAATCTGCTATATAACATGTTAGGGTGGGAATCACCAGGCTCCGCACGATAAGCCACAATGTGATGCTATCACGATGCTTGAGCCAGGATACGATACTATCACGATACTTAAGCCACGGTATGATAGTATTGCGATTCTACGATATGCTAAATATTGCAATACGATATATTTATTACATCTTTGTTTTTCATGAAAACAAGAAAAAGCTCAGCACCATCTAGTGGATTGAAAAAGCAATTGTTACCAGAAATGTATTGAGTCTTGACCATTTTAAGTATTTTAAAAGTATGTGTTTTTTTTATAAATGTTTACATGGACTGCCCCCCCCCCCCCCCTCCCTTAGAGGTTCTTCACACACATGCTCTCCAGTACAGGTTAGCTCTGAGTGTTAGCGATGCTAATGTAAACAAAGACCATATTACGTCCAAAGCAGTCGGGCATTGTTTCTGATAGCAACGTTTCTGATAGGCCCGTGGGTGTAAAGCCAGCCTACATTTCCGATGTTACGTCATATCGGACGCAAATCTGGATCAGCTCCGTTGTAGCCCCATTTTTAGAGACTTGGGTACGGAGGAAAAGAGAGAGGGTTTTATTTTCTGACGCTGCGTGAGTTCCCCGACACACCAGGGACACATCTTTATGTATCATCAAAAAAGAGCATTTTGCATGATAGGTCCCCTTTAAGGTGTTCGGGAGATATCACATTCACAAGAATTCTANGAAAAAGCAATTGTTACCAGAAATGTATTGAGTCTTGACCATTTTAAGTATTTTAAAAGTATGTGTTTTTTTTATAAATGTTTACATGGACTGCCCCCCCCCCCCCCCNNNCCCCTCCCTTAGAGGTTCTTCACACACATGCTCTCCAGTACAGGTTAGCTCTGAGTGTTAGCGATGCTAATGTAAACACCGACCATATTACGTCCAAAACAGTCGGGCATTGTTTCTGATAGCAACTTTCTGATAGGCCCGTGGGTGTAAAGCCAGCCTACATTTCCGATGTTACGTCATATCGGACGCAAATCTGGATCAGCTCCGTTGTAGCCCCGTTTTTAGAGACTTGGGTACGGAGGAAAAGAGAGAGGGTTTTATTTTCTGACGCTGCGTGAGTTCCCCGACACACCAGGGACACATCTTTATGTATCATCAAAAAAGAGCATTTTGCATGATAGGTCCCCTTTAAGGTGTTCGGGAGATATCACATTCACAAGAATTCTACACAACCCCAAAACCCCATGGAAAATATCATGAACCACAAACAACAAGGGACCATGGAGGGGAGGCTAACGAGTTGTGGGATCCATGAGTATTGTTTCAAGAAGAACATCGGTAAAACTACCATGTTGCTGCCAATTACTCAACATAATAAACACCTGAACATATAGAACTCACTCTTCTGATTGTCTTTGCTGTGCAGCAGGCTGTGGGTTGGATAGTTCACCTTGGGCCTGCAGAGGGAGAGCAGAGGAGGCTTGAGTGAGAGAGAAACATCGATTAGTTTCTATCTGATGGAGTTAAAAAGGCAGAATGACCTGCTGAGTTTGCAGCTCTCCACAGAGAAGGAGTTCCTGCCACTGAGGATCAGAGAGGAGGGGAGGACGAGAGCTGGAGAGGAGGTCAGGTCGTACCTCGGAGCGTAGCTGAGGAACGAGGAGAGGACGTTATTTAATGTGTTAACAGATACATTCATTTCCTATCTTAAAGGTGGGGTAGGTAATTCACTTCAGAAACACTTTTTGTTATATTCCATGGAATGCTCTTAACATCCCGATAGCAATGAATATATTAAGTGCTTTGACAATAAATCCATAACAACATGTCATCTGTGGAAGCCGTGGCGCTGTAAAAAGCACGACCAATCATCTGAGCCGGCCCGGCTAAAGTAACTGGATGGCCTACCTGCCTGTCAGCCTTCCATCTGTGCACAAACTTATCTTGTGCCCTCATTGGTCATATACACGTCCGTGTGTGTTGGAGGAGGGGCTCTGTGAGGAAGGGGCAGATTTTTTTCGACTGCGTACTTTCCAATTCTAGCGCACTCAAGCTGGTTTCTCCATTCTAACCTACCCTACCTTTAATGTTCAAATACTAGGGATTTACTTTGATGTTATGGCGAATTTAGATTAGATTAGATTCCTTTAATTGTCACGACAGCGAAATTCCAAGCATTCCCGATGGTGCAATCACACAACAGACAGTATAAGTTTCATTTTGACAATACAAGCTAAAACTTTTAATATATAATATATAAAGTGACTATAAATTGTACCTGGAATGATGTAAACATAGTGAAAACATAACAGCAAATATTGTAAAAATCAAGAAGCGTACATTTAGAATAGAGGAAACAAGTAATATATTATGAAATAAATCAAATAATTATTAGCACAATAAAAATGTAGAACAAAAATAAAACTATAAAAATACCTTAAAACATGCACATAATATAATAATAACAAGAACACACTAGTGTTTTTGGTGTTGTTTTTTCTTGTGTAGCACTGATGGACTTGTAAGACTGAGGTATAGAAAGATTATGCAACAAAGATTGAACCCCAATGACTTGTGTTAATATGTAGACAGATGTGAATATTAGATCGACCCACTCCTTTCATGTGAAAAGACAAGGTGTATGTTCTCTCTCTCTCTCTTTATGTTAACGTGAAGGCAGCGTGACATCAAACTAAACTGTTCCCACAACAACAGAGGACTGATAGTAATAAATGATAACGATCTCATCATGACTTAGCTATAATCCAGCGTGCCGTGTTAACAGAATATTAAACATTAAAGCTAGAGATCTTCAGATTGTGACAGACAAATTATGCTTGTCGAAACATGAATAGGTCTGCTCTTTCCCTCGGTACATATTCCTGTCATTTATGAGACAACGACTCGGTGTAATTACTGCAATGTGTGCAGCTGTCTGCAGAACTATAGTGTGAATCTTGCAGAGGTTACCCCAGGGTGAAGGGCCGCCCCCCCCGGCTGTGGGAGAGCTCCTTGGAGAGGCTGAAGGGATGCAGGGACCGTCTCTGCAGCGGGGGGACCACCGTGCGGGTCTTCTCCGGCTGAACACCTGAAGAGAAATACATTCAGATAGTCAGAACCACAGGTGGGAATTAGTGGAGTACAGATACTGCGTTACTGTACTTAAGTACATTTTTCTGGTATCAGTACTTTACTCCACTACTTATTTTTCTGACGACTTTTGAACCCAAATACCTGTACTTTCTACTTCTTACATGTTGAACACAAATACCTGTACTTTCTACTTCTTACATGTTGAACACAAATACCTGTACTTTCTACTTCTTACATGTTGAACACAAATACCTGTACTTTCTACTTCTTACATGTTGAACACAAATACCTGTACTTTCTACTTCTTACATGTTGAACACAAATACCTGTACTTTCTACTTCTTACATGTTGAACACAAATACCTGTACTTTCTACTTCTTACATCATTATTGATCAGTGATCATTATTATTTAGAGTCATTGCGTGCCTATTGATTTGAACACGATCCGTGTATCCATCATTTCCTGGTCTTCTCTAAAGAAGAGGGACCAATGAAAACGTTGTCATGTTGCCGTTGTTCAGCATGGAAACATTCATTAGCTAACAATGACATTATTGTTCTATTAATATAAAGGGAGGTCAGGTACTCTTTAAAACAGCTGCTAGTTATGGGTACTTTTTACTGAAGTACATTTCAAAGTTCTTTACTTTCACTTGAGTAAAGAAGTTTAGTTAGTACTTCTACTTTCACCAGAGTATTTTTAAACACGAGTATCTGTACTTCTACTTGAGTAAAGGATGTGTGTACTTTTGCCATCTCTGGTCAGAACTCACATCGAGTATGAAGACAAAAGGATATGTTGAAGCATAAAGGGAGTAAACGGTATGTAGACTACCAATATACAACAAGACAGCGTGTAAAAGTGTGCAATAATTGTCTAAATACAACTTCTTTTTTTTTAAATGTTATAACTGGCTTTTTCTTTTTTTAACACTTTATTTATTGGTTTGTCCCACACATAACACAATAACAGGAGAAAATACAGAGTACAAATGCAGGATGACAAAACAATAATGATAACATAAAAAGACCATTCCAGTAATAGCAATGAAACAAATAAACCAAAATACACAATGGCATGATAAGACAGAAACAGTTTGTTTACTTTGGATTTGAGTTTTATTAAGATGTCCTCTTTATAAATGTGTCTACTCTTTCTATCTGTCCCTTTGCTGTAACGCTGTTAATGTCACCGCTGTTTGACCAATAAAGGTTTTTCTGATTTGGCTAATATGTATCTAGCTTTCATTAATACTGCTGCTCAGTATAAAAGTACCACTGGCCGTCACTGACGACACATTATTTATATGATAACAACTCCACCTACTGGCTGTTCAGGAAAACGCCTCAAACTCTCACTGTGTAATTAAACATCCTAAACTCTGTTATAATGACTCGTCTTATTCTGAAAATCTTACATTGTTTTTCGAACAGGAAGTGTCTCCCGGTGATGTCATTGTCCTCCCGAGCTGAGTGAGGGGACCTAGAGGAGGAAGAGAAATAATAAATATCAGCACACATGGAGAAGTGTAAATACCATCCAGAATAATTACACACACAGTTCGCAATATGTGTCTGTTATCAAGTGTATCACAATAAAGGGTGCAGGGCCTCCAAGCTTGTGTTTAAAGGAGACCAACGAGAAAGAGACTCAGAATGACCACTAAGAGACAGATATAGACTTAACGGCTAAATGAAATGCACACAATGACGATACAGAGATGCAGAAGGACTACACAAAGAAGAGAAAACCATAACAGACAAAAGGTAGCCTTACAAGTTACAGTAGTTTTTTAAAACAAGTATTTCAAATGTAATAAAAAGACCAAATACAACTTTAAGGGACAAAGAAACGGTGTGTCTGCTGTTTACAGACTAGCATTCATTTGTGAAAGGGATTTAAAGATATTAGGTATTAGGAAGCCATTGATAAAAAAAAAACACTGGATTTTCAATAGAAATATTAACATTAAATAGAGGATGGATTAAAATCCAATATAAAGAGGTGTGTTGAGTTACCCTGAAAGTGTAATTACTCTACTTAGTAACAGGGTTGCAAATCAATGCTTAAGTTAGGTTTTACCTCAGGAAACAAGGTTAGAAAAATTTTGTCCAAAGGACAAGTATATTAAACAAGGCATGTTTTAGCAAAGATAATACATTGAACTGCAGGATATTTCCTGTGTATATCTTTGCTAAAACAAACCCTTTAAGTGTAACTACTCTCAATCAATGCTAATGTTAGCTTTGACCTCAGGAAACAAGGTTAGAAACTCACCCTCCGACCATGAAGCCCCCACTCCAGGTGTTCCAGTCCCGGGACCCTGCAACCAGGAGTACAGGTTAATATATCACAAAGTGGAAGAAGTACTCAGATATTTACTTAAGAAAAAGTAGCAGAACTACAGGGTATAAATACTCAATTACAAGTAAAAGTCCTGCATTGAAAAGTATATACAGTATGTGTTCATTACTTCAATGTTGCACTGGTTAAGTGGGTTTGATTTGAATTGCTTTATACACTACCGGGTAACTTAACCTATAATAATGGTTGTTGATTTATATTTTGTATTAATAACCGTAATCTGATAAGTAAATATGTAAAACAGATGTGGTGCAGTGATACTGCAATACTCAGATCTTGTACTTGAGAAAAAAGTAGAAGTAAGTACTCAGATCTTGTACTTCAGTAAAAGTAGAAGTACTCAGATCTTGTACTTGAGTAAAAGTAGAAGTACCAGAGTGTAGGAATACTCGAATTAAGTGTAGTACTTGAGTGAATGTACTACGGTAACATTACCCGCCCTGATGTCCCACATTAAGCTAACGTCATGTACAGAAACACAGCATTACTCACTGCTCAGAGGCTGGATGAGAGGCAGTTTCGTCCGGATGTTTTCTACCCCCCTCCCGGAGCTCCTGTATGCCGGACATGGAGCCTCAAGGCCGGGGTGGCTGCAGCTCGAACCCCGGTCCGATGTCAGAGCCTTATTAGCGGTGGGTAGTAGCGACGCGTTTACCTGGAAGGTCATCATGCTGCAGCGGCCTCGCATCACCTGTATTATCACGGGTTATGGATGAACACACACACGCACCTGCTGGGGGGCATTTTTAAAATTCATAAAAAGGACCGTTAGCTGGGGCTTGGCATCCCGAGCTGCGATGCTAGCTGTAACCGAGTCACTGCGTCACCATGACAACAGGCTGCAGGAAGACCGTTACTCATCATATATTAACGGATTTAATTTATTTGCTTCTTAAATAGATAACCGTTTCTCATAATTAACGGTTTTCATTGATCAATTTTTAAATGAACGGTTAAAATGTTAAAGTTAATGTATTAACGTTTATTTCTCTCATTTTCGTATACAGTTCATGTTATACACATATCTTCATTAAATCTCTTTGTTTATTTATATTTGAATTGCTTTCCTACCATATGTTTATACACATTCTTATTTATCCTTTATTTCATTAGATGGTTGAAACATGTCACAATTGATTTCCCCTGGGATAAAGTATTCTGAACCAAGTAAACTCATCAATAGTAGCAGAAAATGGAATCTAAAAAGTATAACTTTTACTTCGTTATCATAAAAAAACCAGAATATATTTACTGTGAGTACTTCACCCTTTAGTAATTGGCAAATGCACTTTTAAAAAGTAGGCCTTCCCTCAATACTGGAGGATAATCTTATATTTGTTAACTATTGTAAGGTTATGGGATGTTAAAGTACTAAAAAAACAATTTAAAATCTAAAAATGTATATGTATCTAACCATACAAGGATAACTTTCCAGTGAGTCTTCAGTACTAACGTTTTCAATAAGGGTCCTTAGTTTCCCCAGACAGTCTTATTGGTTTACAGTGAAGTGCTCAATTTCTCACTGACCTTTTGTCATTTTATGTCAAAATTGGTGACAACTGAATCCAAAATCACTGCTAAAACCAACTATATGAACAAAGTGTTGTGGAAAAAGATACCTTGCTTTTAACCAAAATATAGATCACACACATTTCTGAATCAAAGTGCACATCAGATATTAACGACAGAAACAAGACTTTTTTTTTTCTCCAAGATTTTTTATTGTACATTTTGAGTCCTTTGCAAACCTGAAACAGACAAAGGGAGAAACTGTTATTGATGTGATTTCTTACCAGATGCAAAGCACTCGTACAGATGAGATGAAGTATCTTCAATATTAAATCTATTCAACTCGTTTTTCACACTGGTATCATTTTGTCAAAGGCTGCTATTTCCAATAAAGACAAGCAATGCTAAACTCAATCCAAAGCGATGTCACATTAACAACTTAAATATATAATGCCTATTTGGATCTATTTCAGCAGACTAAAGCACATGTAGCAGAGGATTCTAACACAGATGGCTTAGGTGTGGTTTCAGACATATTGGCTTAAATACAACTGGTTTTCACCACAGTCGATAAGATGGGGAAAAAAGATTGTGCATCATTAACCACACCTATAAGCCATGTGTCCTCTGCAGATCTTTAGACTTAAAAGTCGCTGCCACTCACCATGAGTCTAGTTCATCCTCCGGATCTGAAACAGACAAGAGAAACTGTTATTGACGGGACCAAGTCATTTCTTACCAGATGCAAAACACTCGTACAGATATGGTAAAGTATCTTCAATATTAAATCTATGCTTCTTCTAAATTCATTTTTCACACTGGTATCATTTTATCAAAGGCTGCTTTTTTCCAATAAAGACAAGCAATGCTAAACTCAATCTAAAGCGATGTCACATTAACAAAACTTAAAATATTTAATTGATCTATTTCTGCCCTCATTACTTCTTCCCTGCAGACTAAAGGACATTTAGCAGAGGATTCTAACACGGATGGCTTAGATGTGGTTTCAGACATATTGGCTTAAATACAACTGGTTTTCACCACAGTCGATAAGATGGGGAAAAAAGATTGTGCATCATTAACCACACCTATAAGCCATGTGCCCTCTGCAGATCTTTAGAGTCGCTGCCACTCACCATGAGTCTAGTTCATCCTCCGGATCATTCTGTTGATCTGGTCCTCCCTGTTGCCAGCGTCTCCTCCCTCCACAAAGTGAGTGGTCTTCTTGTTCATGCCGCCGCGGGGAGACGACAGTTTGAAGGGCCACAGGAAGTTGTTGGCGGGCTTGAAGTTCTTGCCAACTGTGTAAATCTCGTGGATGAGATCCTCCACACAGATGATGCCGTATTTGCCTGGAGAGCAAAAAAGATACGGTGTTTAGGAAACCATACAACTGTTGCTACCGCTTTATAAAAACATGTCATATATCAGTAAAGGAAAAAGGAATCACACACTGGTGTTGAGAAATCAGTGTAGGAAATAGTTGATGTGTCAAATGTTTAATTGAGACAAGTGCAAAATGGTATATCTCAGAAAACTTTACTGGTCAGAATAGTTAAAAACTGGAGTTTCGTTTCCTAGCATCTCTACCAAGTAATTTTCCAAGTTCAACGTCTCATTTAAAGCTCAACATACAGTTTAGCTTTTAAAGTTACAATTAGTACACGTTTCTTGAAGATGTGTAAAAGGTCTGCAACCAACGAAAATATATTCTAGAGGTTATATATTATAATAAAACATTATTAAAAATCACTGTTCGACTGACATGTGGTTTCAGACAAACTGGCTTAGTCTCAGTTTTTCTCACCATGGTCGATAAGACGGGGAAAAAATTGTACATCATTAACCACATGTAGCAGAAGACCTCGAGTTAGAAGGCATTTGATAAAGTAGTGACACTGTTTCTGCAGAATAACACTACCTTGTTCAACACGTAATATATAAAAAAGGCTCAGAGAAGCACAACTTGTTCCCAATTAATATAATAATACGTTTTGCATACCGAGAGCCTTCTCCACCAGAGCGTTGTCGGTGAGGGCGATGCGCTGTTTCCTCATCCTGCCATGACCACGTTTGTAGATGAGCTCACGCACAGACTTCAGGTTGGGGTATCTGAGGGGAACAACGGGTCATACAATGGTTATTAAATGAACTCTGGTCAAATCTGAACAGTGTTGTAGACAACAGGGAGAGATGAGAGTGTAGACAATCTCTTTGATAGTTTTTGCATTCACACCATGGAAAACAAGTGCAGAAGCACCTCTGACTAAAAGCAGCCAATGAGAAACTGCAAAGATAGTTTGGCTTATTATCTTTCCCATATCAAAGTACACAATAGTGTCTCTGATCAGCCACGTGGTAGTGCAACACCTTTACACAGGAATCTGAATGAACTCTAAAATAGCAGCACACCAGAACAACTGCAGTCTAGTGTTTCATCAGAATATGTCATGGTTTGGATACAGCTGTTTAAATCTACAGCGAACAAAGTCTGGAGGTTACACAAAAGCACAAAGACGGTTGCCGCTAATCGGCCAATAATAGCTTTTGTCTATTTCTCACCCAACACGTTTTAAAACAGCCAGCCATCATATTACAGTAACCCAAATCTAGTACATATTACTATCTTGGAATGTGGTTTCAGACAAACTGGCTTAGTTTCAGTAAGTAATCACCATAGTCGATAAGATGGGGAAAAAAGTTGAGCATCATTAACCACATTCCAGATATAAATCCACTATCGCAGAGTTCATATTGGGACACTTTTCCATGAAGTTCTCTTACCCCCAGGCGATGTAGGGCTCGGCGATCCTCAGCATGTTGATGGAGGCTTTGTTCAGCCTGACGAAGACGCCGTTGAAGATCTGGCGAAGACGCATCAGCTGCAGAACCTTGCGGACCTTGGGGGCGACACCGTTGATACTGGGGGGGGGAATGAGGATAATGATTAGCTTATAGCTTAGCGTGAAGATGCAGCTCTCTCGTTTTTGAGATTTGTGGTTTCAGACAAACTGGCTTAATATACAAAGCTTTATCAGCATAGTCGATAAGTCGGGGAAAGAGTGGTCATCACTAAACACAGCAGACAGTACACTTACATGGATTACTACATTTAGAGAATGAAAAGGCCTTCAGAACATTACCACCTAAATATTTACTTGTGCCGTCTCATGACAGAGGCTCAAACGTTTATCCAGAGGCTATAATAACTGATTATAGGAAGTCTTAGCGTTTGCTGTACCCTATAGCAGCTTCAGTTGGTGTATTTTGTACCAAAGTTACTTTTGAATTAGCCTTCTCAATCCTTAATTAACACCTGGTTGGGAAATGCCAATATTCTGGCAACAGCTTGAACTTCATGTCTTGTAGGAAACCTAGTAATCCATGTAAATGCTACTGATAATTTCACACGACGGACACTACTCACCCTCTGATCCTCATGACGAAGGCGAGTTTGGGCTCCGCTGGCACGTAGAAGTTTCCCACTTTGCGAGCAGTGCGGCCCAGACGCACCTCACGTCTGTACATCGTCTTGTACTCCTTGTGGTACTTCTCGGCCCTCTTGTAGATCAAAGTCCTGGTCACTTTGCGGGCCTGAGAACACATTAGGTAATAACATGCTCTTTTAGTGCACTGTTCAGCTACACGTCAACATATACACAGTGATGATTATTAGATCAGTGCATGTGGTTTCAGATAAACTGGCTTAGTTGTCAGTTTTTCTCACCATGGTCGATAAGACGGGGAAAAAATTGTGCATCATTAACCACATGTAGCACTATTCCTTAATCTAACAGCAACTTCAAAAGCAGGGATTCAGCTGTCGTAGAAGCAACACTTGACACCTCAGAGAAAGCATACTTGTAACTTAAATAAGTGACTCCTCAGAAATACTTCCCAGTTACATCAGTAAACTTCTAGCATCACAGCAGGTCAATTAATTCAGGCCTTCAACACAAAGGTGTTTGAAGGAGGAAGGCTATGATAACAATGCAGTAAGTATAGGGGGGAACTTTAAAACGACCCATTAAATCTAAGTATGTACTAGTTTGTAAGTGCATTGAAAAGGAAATACACAGGAGCATCTAGTCAATCACAGCCTTAATGTTTTGTATGCTGGGTCATTTTCAATCTAAGGTGTTGACCTACATCTTTTAGCAGATGTTCACCTGGTGGAGCTTCTTTGACTTCAAGGTAGATGGAAACATGTGCCATATTTCCATAATGAACACTTATAGGAGCTAAAACCGTAAGGATAATTTGTCTACTTGCCCCTGAAAACTCCTATATGTACACTCCTCAATATAAGTACTTTTACAGACTT